ATGGGAATGGATGAAACTATCAGACCTACGAATTATACTTGGTAGCTAAAATTACAAAAATGACCTTATGAAGGTCGAGGGTTAGAAGCCAAATAAATGTTATGGTTGGTTTACCCAATTTGTAAAGTTCTATGATTTTAGGACAAAAGATAGTTTTGAATATTTTTTCCACGAAGAATTTTGTTCAAGACATGGTACATTAAGTGACACTTCATAAGCTTGAGTACTTCCAGGGAGTACATTGGCGGTTATGGGAAGATGTCAAGATTAATGTATCAGTGGCATTACGATTAAGATCGTAGTGACTAATACCTATTGTAAAATCATAGGAATACTTATTGGATGTTGAGATTCGATCTCAATGTGTTTCACCTGGTTCATCAGAACAGGACGGTGCAACAGACCGAAGGAAAATGTCTCACTAGAAGATTGGTTATGTCAATGATGAGTTATTAGGAATTTTGCTTTTTCGTATTGGAGTTGTGCAAATAGTAGGATAAGTTCTGAACATAATTCTATCTAAGTTTAGTAGTCATCACTCTGAATGAATTTTTGGCAAGACTTAGGCCTTATCAGGAAGATATTCGGATTCATAGCATTTCAGCACACGTGCTGGAAGGTTGATACTAATAGGATTGGGAAAGATATTCGGAAATTATTCTATTTGTGGGATACTTCATAGTAACGAGAAATGAGTGGATTATTATAGTACTAAAAGTCAGAATGTGTTCGTTAGGGCGAATGTATGATTTTTAGAGGAATACTAAGTACTAAATCACTAAGTTCATCTATAGAATTGTTTGAAGGAAAGATAAAGGTGAAAGTTAAACTTTGTTACCAAGTGTACAAATGTTATACCACAAGGAAAACTGCAACACGTATTTTGTGCTTTACGCCTTTGCAGAGGGAACCTCGTTGTAGTGGGAGGGTTGCAAGGCAACTCCATTTATGATAATAACAGAGTCGTTGGACTCAGTCTGTATTAATCACAAGTTCATGGAATTCATGTTTTGAGAAAGTCTCGGACTTAGTCTCTAGTAAACGTAATTTATTAATAAACATAACATGGATATTATTATTTATACATACTGAAAACGATCCAAACACTTTTTATGGAACTTACATACATCAGAGTTTATAGAAAGAAAATTTAAACATAGTGTAAGTTCACTCACTGGCCCAACAGGTCGTCATCCATGTACACATCCCCAAAGGTCTTCGGATCCAACAGTCCGGTCACATCAATCATCATATATCAACAAGATCACCTACAATGCATAAACTATATGAGCTATGGCTCAATAAGTACAAGTCACGCATGTCAAGAAATAATATCATCAATTGATGTGCACTACAACATGAAATGCAAATGCTCAGTTTTTTTTTTATATATATATATAAACCACACCCCAGTGTAGGGTGGGGGGTTGAGGCTACACCCCTGACCTGTGAATATAATGGCCATGAATGGGCTATTAAGTCAAGGTTCTACAACAATGTCGAAAGTACATAAAACCATCAAAATAGAAAAATCAAAAAGTACAAAGATCACAAAATGTCTAATGTAGTGTTGATATGGTTTTCGGTAAACCAAATTACTAATAACCATTGGCATTTAGAGCTCGACAATTAGAAGATTATGTTATTTCGGAGGTTGGCATGTTCGCGAAGTTTTAAGTGATCTCACATCGGATAAAGATGGGCCAAGGACCGATATCTTCATCACATAACCGACATCTCATATCGGTTAAAACTTAATGAACCAATATCTACGACCCCATGAACCGATATTATAAGGCGGTGCCAGCTCAGCAAAACTCATCATTATGCCTTGCCAAATAGCGCGTTACGAGAATGAATGGCGATCGGCCGCCATTGACTTTTCCAGATTAATGATTGTTATTTTGATAATCTTGTATGAGACTATAAAATAAAGAGGGATAGCTCCCACAAGGACGACACCAAAAAAAAAGAATATGAACTATCACATTCATAAAATCGCGTTTTTACTATCTTTCCATATGACTAATTTCTCTGCATAATCAATACAATTCTCTTTGAATAATCTTTGTTAATTCCCATATAACAACAGTTTGGCGCTAGAGGAAGAGCCTCATAAGTGTTTGAGGTTAATCTTCACCATTATAGCCATCGTTCGCTTAAATCGCCATGTCACAATCTGGTCGAGATCACACTTCCCGTGCTGGGCAAAGTCATGCTACGACCCGTTCCCCAAGGCATTCTACGCCCCCTCCGCCGGTAACCAATATTCCGGAGTTTCTCAAAAATCCAGAGTTCATTCAAGGGCTAACAGCTCTTATAGCTCGAGCTATGCCCAGAGCTTCGAGCACCGTACCAATACCCACTCATATCTCCATGAATCCAACAGAACAACCAAACCCTACTCGTCATAACCAAGAAACACATATAGCAGTATCACATGCCATCTCTTAACCACATCATACTTCTTCCCATCGAAATGAGATGACTCGTATGACTGTAAATCCAATACTAAATAACCAGGCCGCGCTTGAGCCTCCTGTACAAGAAATGACTGCTGAAAGCCATTCTGCTCATCATCATAGAGTTCCTTCACGTCCTAGACCTCCCTCACCGATGCCTCAAGATCGTGAAGACTTGCGTCATCAGATTGAACGAAATCGTGTGTCAAGACATAGTGCAGAAGAATTAGAAGTTCTCCGTAAAATATTGGCTGAAATCGAAACTCGACAGAAATCACATGAAGACTCCCCCCGACATGTCTCGACATCGGGCAATGTTATCATTGAAGCTGATTCACCTTTGGCTCCCGAACATACTGCAGAGGCACTTCCTGCCAAGATAAAAATTCCACAAATTGGCATGTATGATGGAACTTCGGATCCTGATGCACATTTAGGTCACTATACGTCATGGATGGATTTGCATGGCGCCTCAGATGCTTTGAGATGTCGGATGTTTTCCCTCACACTAGGGCCACGCGCGCAGAAATGGTATTACACTCTTTCTCCTCATTCGATATGGAAGTGGCAACAATTACGTGCAGCTTTCCGATCACACTTTATCAGAGCTCAAGTTTGTCTTATCTCGAAAGAATCCACCACTAACATCGTGCAGAAAGATAACGAAAATCGGTTCAATGACCAAATTCAAAATATGGAACCTTGCCATCCTGAAACTTTATTGGTAACCGCGATCGCTGGGTTAAGGCCCAATTCTATGTTCCGATGAACTCTATGACAGAACAAGCCAGCTGCCATTCAAGAATTTCTCGTACGAGCCCAACAATTTATTATTGCCGAAGAATCGATGTCGGTTGCCAGTTTCGACTTCTCGGTTAAGGAAGACAAGGCTGAACCGGATGCAAAGAAGAAGAATAAGAAGAATTCTGGAAAAGCGCAATATCGAAATTATTCGAAAGGGTATGAAGATACTCCAGAATCTAGAGCCGCCCGAGATCAATATGCCGACAATGTGAGTACAGGCTATCAAACTGTTTATTCAGCCAGAGCAGCTGCAATTTTTGAAGAACTAAAAGGAAAAGGAATCATTCCTGATCCGAAACTTGTGAGAACTCCTGAAGACAAGTTGGACAAAACTCGATATTGTGCGTACCATAAGTCCCCGGGACATAATACCGATGAATGTCTCGGCCTCTTATCGGCTCTTCTGCGTTTAATTGGGCAACCACAACTTCAAAAATTCAGGAATTTTGATAATCGCCGCAAAGGAAGGCCCGCAGACGTTAGGCGCTAATCCAAAGAGAATTCACGCAACCGATAAAGAGATTTTTACGATCTCCAATCTTGTCGGTACCTCGACCGATGAATACAAAAAACCCAGAACCCATGATAACCCGAATTCTTCTTATCGCATACCTCGGGTAAATTCGAACACTAAGCAGTTGGATACATCTCGACGAAAAGCCAAAGCCTATGCGCGAGAAGCACAAAATGCCGGGAAACAAATCATGAACGTTGATCTTCGAGATACCATCAACAAACGGAATTGTCCTATCACTTTCCACATCGAAGATGCCAATCTGTTCGCTCATCCACATTCCGATGCTCTCATTATCACTGCTCCGATTAGAGGAATTTCTGTTCACCGAATTATGGTTGATACCGGAGCCTATTCGAGTATTTTAATGTTTCGTACTTTCAAAAAATTGGGTTTGGATCCCGCTGATATCAGACCTTGCAACGATCAGATTCAAGGCTTCAATGGAAGCATTTCTTGTCCCCTCGGTAAAATCGTGCTCTCTATTCGATTCGGGGGCTTCGGACCAAAATCCAAAATCATTATGGAGACCTTTAAAGTTTTAGATATTCAAAATGAGTATAATGCTGTTGTAGGATGAACTGCTCTTTACAAACTCCGCGCTGCTGTGTTGATTTTCCATTATGCCTTGAAATTTCCCACTCTCGAAGGAGAAGGCACTCATTACGGAGATCAACAAGAGGCGCGAAATTTGACATTGATTCCGACTTCATATAATGTTCATGCATATGAGACACATGGAACTGATGATTCTGCTCAAAATATTTTCTCTAAGGCCTACATGACGAGTCCATCCACTTCAAGTACTGACGTCCCCTCTACGGTTGATACCTACGTCCCCTCTACGGTTGATACCGACATCGCTATGACGCCGGAATTGCCCAATATGTCGGATGAAGTTCAAGACCAGAAACAGCAACCTTGCAAAAAAGATATAAACTCACGTGAGGATATAGACCCAAGATTGCAATTTAAAGATAAGAGTCACCATGTTCGGCCGGAACCCGTTGAAGATGTCGAAGATATTTACGTGGATGAACTGACTCGAGAAAAGATGCTGCGTGTCGGAACTAACCTTCAAGAACCAATACGTTCTCAATTGATTCAATTCCTTTGATCAAATTCCGACATATTTTCATGGAAGCATGAAGACATGAAGGGAATAGATCCTCAGAAAGCGTGTCATCGGCTGAATCTGGACAAGACTATCAAGCCTGTCATACAGAAACGCCAAAAATTCAGACCTGATCGTCAGAAAGCACTGGAAGAGGAAGTGAACAAACTCATAGACAATAAGTTCGTCAAAGAGGCCGAATATCCAACGTGGATATCAAAACCAGTTTTAGTTAAGAAAAGTAATGGTCTTTGGCGCATATGCTTTGATTTCTCGGATTTGAATCAAGCATGTCCGAAAGACAGTTATCCAGTCCCTCATATCGATTATATGGTAGACGCCACATCAGGACATCAGCTCATGAGTTTTTTGGACGCTTATTCCGGCTACAATCAAATTCCCATGCACCCCGATGACGCTGAACATACCTCATTTTATTCAGCCCGAGGACTTTACTGCTATGTCATGATGAATTTTGGATTCAAAAATGCTGGGGCCACATATCGGAGGTTGGTCAACATAATGTTTGTTCATTTGATAGGTCACACGATGGAAGTTTACATAGATGACATGCTGATGAAATCGGAACAAGCCCCTGATCATATCGCTCATCTTTCTGTGGTCTTTGATATCCTCCGAGAATACTCAATGGTACTTAACCCTAAAAAGTGCACCTTCGGGGTCGGATCAGGAAAATTTCTAGGATACATGGTGAGCCAAAGAGGAATCGAAGCTAATCCTGTCAAGATTCAGGCCATACTTGATTTGGCTCCTCCGACGTCCATCAAAGGTGTCCAAGCTTTAACTGGTCGACTAGCAGCTCTGAATCGATTCATTTCAAAGTCGACAGATAATTGCAAACCTTTCTTTGATGCTATCAGAAAGAAGAAGCCGTTTGAATGGACTACTAAATGTCAGAGTGCTTTTGATAACATTAAAAAAGTCCTTTCACAACTTCCGACGTTGCAGAAACCCCTTCCCGCTGAACCCTTATATATATATCTGGGAGTTAGTGATGTTGTTGTTAGCGCCGCCCTCATACGACAAGATGGAATCCAGCAGTTTTCGATATATTATGTTAGCAAGGCTTTACATGATGCAGAATTGCGATATCCGTACATGGAGAAATTAGCCTTTGCTCTGATTATTGCTGCACGTAAGTTGCGACCATACTTTCTGGAACATTCTATTATTGTGTTCACATCATACCCTCTCCGACAAGTCCTTCATCGACCTGACACGTCGGGTAGAATGATCAAATGGGCCATAGAGCTCGGGCAGTTCGATGTTCAGTATCGACCACGAACCGCCATCAAAGCCCAAGTGTTATCCGACTTCATAGCTGAATTCACCCCATCCATAAACGCGTCAATTGAAGACCCAACTTGGACTCTTTACATCGATGGATCTTCTACCGCTATACGTGACGGGGGAGGAATTGTTTTAGTCAGTCCTGATCAGCAAGTTTTTTGTTATTCCGTAGCATTCACCTTCTCGGCCACAAACAATGAAGCTGAGTAAGAAGCTCTTTTATCGGGCTTGCATTTTGCTGAATCCATGAATGTCTCTTCACTTCGCATATTTTCTATTTCTCAATTACTTGTCAGCCATATCAACGGCGCTTACGAAGTCAAAGAACTTCGATTGCTTCCTTATTTCGATCTTGTCAAGAAAAAGTTATCACAATTCAAGGTGACATTAGAGCATATACCTCGAACATCCAACATTCAGGCGGATGCTCTATCACGTTTAGCTTCTTCTACCGACTTGAACAACGTCGAATTCGTTCAAATCACTCAACAGACGACTCCTTCAATAACCTCTACCGACATCGCCATGATCGAAGCTGCTTCTCTGACTCCAAATTCAACTTGGATGGATCCTATCATCAATTATCTTCATACCGGGTCCATGCCTGAAGACCCAAAAGAAGCTCATGCCCTCCGTGTTCGTGCCGCTCATTTTACGGTTGACCAAGGGACATTATACAAGCGTGGGTATTCCACTCCACTACTTAAATGCTTGTCAGAAACCGACGCCCGTTGTGTTCTTGAGGAAGTCCATGAAGGTATTTGTGGTACACACCAAGGAGCACAAGCCTTATCTCACAAAATTCTCTGACAAGGTTATTACTGGCCCACCGTCAAGAAAGATGCAGCCGACTGGGTACGAAAATGTCATAAATGTCAGATATTTGCTCCCAATGTTAATCAACATCCTGAACTCCTCAAGTCAATATACAGTCCGTGGCCATTCGCGGAATGGTGAATTGATATAATCGGTCCTCTGCCGACAGCAAAAAGAGGTATTCGTTTTGCGATATTGACTGTCGACTACTTCACCAAATGGGTAGAAGCTGAACCACTTGCCACTATTACTGAACAGAAGATGATTGATTTTGTTTGGAAGTCCATCGTCTGTCGGTTTGGAATACCGAACTCCATTATAACCGACAACGGTCGTCAGTTTGAAGGGAAAAGATTTGAAGCGTTTTGTGAAGACTATGGCATCAAGCATTTCTTCTCATCACCTTGTCATCCACAAGCCAATGGACAGATAGAAGCTGTAAATAAAATCATCAAGAATGGCTTGAAAACCCGACTTAAAACCACAAAAGAATCTTGGCCCGACGATCTATCTCATGTCCTTTGGGCCTATCGAACAACGTTGCGAAACTCAACTGGAGAAACTCCATTCTCGTTAAGTTACGGAACTGAAGCTGTGATACCTGTTGAACTCACTTCTTCGACATATCGGATTACCCATTTCTCCGAAGAAGCCAACCCAGAAAGCTTAAGAACTAATCTTGACTTGGTCGATGAATTACGGACTGAAGCAGAAATTCGGAATGCTGCTTACAAATAACGTAGTGAAAAGTACATTAATTCGAAACTCAAGCCGCGCTTATTCGTCGTATGAGACTTCGTTTTGAAAAGAGTTACCGGGGCCAATGTCGGTTCGTTGCAACCAAAGTGGGAAGGACCCTTTAAAGTGAACCGTCTGATCCCTAATGACACTTACCGACTTGAAACTTTGGATGGTGTTCCCCTTCAATACCCTTGGCATACGACCTATCTCAAGAAATATTTCCAGTAAACCAAGGGTTGATGTAACACCCCACCTTACTGTAAAATCAGAGTTGCGCAATAATTCGCAAAGTCTTTGAAAATAAAACCTTTTTACTTTGCAAAAACTGATTCGGGGTGCTACCGTGAAAAATCCTTACTTAACTTAGAAAAACCGTTGTTTTAATTTAATAAAAACGTCCGGTTACTGAAAAACTTAATTTTCTTAAAAGTT